ATCATTCGAAAGAGGACACTTTTAGCTTTAATTTGCGATAAATCTCATTCCTTAATTATCATAAACAAAGATTCCACGATTTTTTAAAATTACCCAATTTTTGACATTTTCAAATTAAGCATAAATCTTCAACATTTTTTTCCTCCACATTTTCCTAATACAACCTAACACTTATCATACATCATTCGAAAGAGGACACTTTTAGCTTTAATTTGCGATAAATCTCATTCCTTAATTATCATAAACAAAGATTCCACGATTTTTTAAAATTACCCAATTTTTGACATTTTCAAATTAAGCATAAATCTTCAACATTTTTTTCCTCCACATTTTCCTAATACAACCTAACACTTATCATACACCATTCGAAAGAGGACACTTTTAGCTTCAATTTGCGATAAATCTCATTCCTTAATTTTCATAAACAATGATTCCACGATTTTTTAAAATTACCCAATTTTTGACATTTTCAAATTAAGCATAAATCTTCAACATTTTTTTCCTCCACATTTTTCTAATACAACCTAACACCTATCATACATCATTCGAAAGAGGACACTTTTAGCTTTAATTTGCGATAAATCTCATTCCTTAATTTTCATAAACAAAGATTCCACGATTTTTTAAAATTACCCAATTTTTGACATTTTCAAATTAAGCATAAATCTTCAACATTTTTTTCCTCCACATTTTCCTAATACAACCTAACACTTATCATACATCATTCGAAAGAGGACACTTTTAGCTTTAATTTGCGATAAATCTCATTCCTTAATTTTCATAAACAAAGATTCCACGATTTTTTAAAATTACCCAATTTTTGACATTTTCAAATTAAGCATAAATCTTCAACATTTTTTTCCTCCACATTTTCCTAATACAACCTAACACTTATCATACATCATTCGAAAGAGGACACTTTTAGCTTTAATTTGCGATAAATCTCATTCCTTAATTTTCATAAACAAAGATTCCACGATTTTTTAAAATTACCCAATTTTTGACATTTTCAAATTAAGCATAAATCTTCAACATTTTTTTCCTCCACATTTTCCTAATACAACCTAACACTTATCATACATCATTCGAAAGAGGACACTTTTAGCTTTAATTTGCGATAAATCTCATTCCTTAATTTTCATAAACAAAGATTCCACGATTTTTTAAAATTACCCAATTTTTGACATTTTCAAATTAAGCATAAATCTTCAACATTTTTTTCCTCCACATTTTCCTAATACAACCTAACACTTATCATACATCATTCGAAAGAGGACACTTTTAGCTTTAATTTGCGATAAATCTCATTCCTTAATTTTCATAAACAAAGATTCCACGATTTTTTAAAATTACCCAATTTTTGACATTTTCAAATTAAGCATAAATCTTCAACATTTTTTTCCTCCACATTTTCCTAATACAACCTAACACTTATCATACATCATTCGAAAGAGGACACTTTTAGCTTTAATTTGCGATAAATCTCATTCCTTAATTTTCATAAACAAAGATTCCACGATTTTTTAAAATTACCCAATTTTTGACATTTTCAAATTAAGCATAAATCTTCAACATTTTTTTCCTCCACATTTTCCTAATACAACCTAACACTTATCATACATCATTCGAAAGAGGACACTTTTAGCTTTAATTTGCGATAAATCTCATTCCTTAATTTTCATAAACAAAGATTCCACGATTTTTTAAAATTACCCAATTTTTGACATTTTCAAATTAAGCATAAATCTTCAACATTTTTTTCCTCCACATTTTCCTAATACAACCTAACACTTATCATACATCATTCGAAAGAGGACACTTTTAGCTTTAATTTGCGATAAATCTCATTCCTTAATTTTCATAAACAAAGATTCCACGATTTTTTAAAATTACCCAATTTTTGACATTTTCAAATTAAGCATAAATCTTCAACATTTTTTTCCTCCACATTTTCCTAATACAACCTAACACTTATCATACATCATTCGAAAGAGGACACTTTTAGCTTTAATTTGCGATAAATCTCATTCCTTAGTTTTCATAAACAAAGATTCCACGATTTTTTAAAATAACCCAATTTTTAACATTTTTAAATTAAGCATAAATCTTCAACATTTTTTTCCTCCACATTTTCCTAATACAACCTAACACTTATCATACATCATTCGAAAGAGGGCACCTTTAGCTTTAATTTGCGATAAATCTCATTCCTTAATTTTCATAAACAAAGATTCCACGATTTTTTAAAATTACCCAATTTTTGACATTTTCAAATTAAGCATAAATCTNATCCGAAAGAGGAAACTTTAAGCTTTAATTTAAAACAAATCTCACTTCTTATGTTCCACAAACAGCTGTTCCACGAATTTTTAAAATTTCACGTTTTTTTATCATTTTTAAATTACGCAAGCTTTAACTCAATATGTTTTTCCTCAAAATTTTTTTAATCCAACCCATCGACTATTATATATCATTCGAAAGAAGACATTTTTAGCTTTAATTTAAGATAAATCTCATTCCTTAATTTTCATAAACAAAGATTCCACGATTTTTTAAAATTACCCAATTTTTGACGTTTTCAAATTAAGCATAAATCTTCAACATTTTTTTCCTCCACATTTTCCTAATACAACCTAACACTTATCATACATCATTCGAAAGAGGACACTTTTAGCTTTAATTTGCGATAAATCTCATTCCTTAATTTTCATAAACAAAGATTCCACGATTTTTTAAAATTACCCAATTTTTGACATTTTCAAATTAAGCATAAATCTTCAACATTTTTTTCCTCCACATTTTCCTAATACAACCTAACACTTATCATACATCATTCGAAAGAGGACACTTTTAGCTTTAATTTGCGATAAATCTCATTCCTTAATTTCCATAAACAAAGATTCCACGATTTTTTAAAATTACCCAATTTTTGACATATTCAAATTAAACATAAATCTTCAACATTTTTTTCCTCCACATTTTCCTAATACAACCTAACACTTAACATACACCATTCGAAAGAGGACACTTTCAGCTTTAATTTCCGATAAATCTCATTCCTTAATTTTCATAAACAAAGATTCCACGATTTTTTAAAATAACCCAATTTTTGACATTTTCAAATTAAGCATAAATCTTCAACATTTTTTTTCTCCACATTTTCCTAATACAACCTAACACTTATCATACATCATTCGAAAGAGGACACCTCCAGCTTTAATTTGCCATAAATCTCATTCCTTAGTTTTCATAAACAGCTCTTCCACGAAATGTTAAACTTACACAATTCTAAATCGCTCTTTGGGGAGCGTCAAATCTATGCAAAATGAGTCAAAGGTGTCCAAAACAACAATCGGAAATAGAAGTTTAATCAAAATTTTCGGAATTGCTTCCAAGTCGTTCTTGAGCGTCGCTCGCCGTCATCGGCGTCGCGGTTTGCAATAAATAGTGGGTCCGTCTTTGACGGCGCTCAGTCGTCGCTGATTGCTGATAGAGGCGCCAGCACCGTGTTAACTAAGTTACAGAGTTACAGAGCCGTCCTCGAGACGCGGCCGCGACCCCCGCTTAAAATGTGACACGCGCGTCGCCGTCGTCGTCGTCGTCGTCGTCGTCGTTTCTACGAGAGCGTGGAGAGTCGAGAGAGTGTACATCGCGCACCATCCGAGGCATCGCTGGTGGCGCGGCGAGGCGACACAGAATGCAGTTCTCGGCGGTTACGGTCCTGCTCGTGCACGCTCTTCTCGGAGCTGCCGCGACGGTACTCGCAACAGCAACTTCCGTTGCCGGCGCCGTGGATCCACCGTCGGTGCGGCAACCTCTTCTTAAATCAGATTCAAATTCGGACCAACTTTCGGATCGGTGTGTTTCTTGTAGTAGACGCGAAGAGGCCAAGGCAAGAAACATTCGGGCGATCAAAGATGGTATTTTGAAGAAGCTGGGTTTTGATCAGCCCGTTAATTTAACGGGGAAAGTGCTGCCGCCGGTTCCGAAACATCTCCTCGCCAAATGGGAGGAGGATTACAGGCAGTTTCAAAACGACCAAATGGAGGTGGACTCTGGTTACGAGGAGGATGATGACTTTCATGTCAGAACGGAGCAAATCGTCACTTTCGCCCAATCTTGTAAGTTAACTCCTCCATAAAGATCCAAAAACGCCCCCGCTCATTGTTCTACAAGATGTGATAATTAATTCATTTTTTTGGAGTTTGCGTAAAGTTTGTTTGAGAATTTTTTTTTAATTAAATTTCGAGTATCGCGTTCGTCTGCCTCGAAGTCTGTACGTTTAATTGGCGTGGTTTTGACCTTATAAACTGCGTGTGACCTAGTGTGGTATAATTCGATGCAAAAAAGTGGGTTACCTCCCGCTTTGCACTCCTCGGTTGCCGTAATATTAAAAAAACCACCCCGAAGACTCCAAAGATTTAAAAAAATTCAAAAAACTAAGTTTTAATCATTCTTTCTTGGCGTTTCTTTTTAAAGTTTTTGTTTTGTCTACAGACCACACCGATAAGATTCATTGCCGAGGAATAATTACGATACAATGTTCACAATTACAATCGACACCGCGATTTGTTGTTGTTCTTATTGTTGTTGTTAATTTTTAACAATCAATATTTGCCCCTTTTTATTCCGAATGCGAAAACAGTTTGATTTTTTTGTTTACGACTTTTTTTGAAAAATTTTCCTTATCAAACTATATATTTTTTTAATCCCATCATAAAATAGATTCTTTTAGCTTTAATTTAATACATAAATCTTTGCTCTACGCTTCAAAATACCGTAGGAATGATTTTTTTAAATTTCCACTTTATTTTGACAGATACAAAAATAACCTAAAAAACCAATTTTTCGTTTAATACGTTTATCTGGTAAATCTCGTAATCAAACCATTTAATTTTTATAGGTTACATTAAAATAGAATCTTTAAGCTTTAATTTAAGATATAAATCATCGCTTAACTCCCAAAAATAAAGTCAGGATGATTTTTTGAATTTTACCCTTTACATGACGAATTCAAAATAAGCTAGATTTACAACTTTGTCTTCAAGATTTTTTTTTGAAAAATTTTCCTTATCAAACTATATATTTTTTTAATCCCATCATAAAGTAGAATCTTCTAGCTTTAATTTAAGACATAAATCTTTGCTCTAAGCTTCAAAATACCGCAGGAATGATTTTTTTAAATTTCCACTTTATTTTGACAGATACAAAAATAACATCAAAAACCAATTTTTATTTTAAGCCTTTTTCTGCTAAATCTCATTATCAAACCATTTAATTTTCATAAGAAATTATAAAATAGAGTCTTTAAGCTTCATTTTGACATACAAATTTTCACTTAACCCCAAAAAATAAGGTCAGAGCGATTTTTTAATTTAACCTCACTTTCAACAAAAGTNTTTTCATAAGAAATTATAAAATAGAGTCTTTAAGCTTCATTTTGACATACAAATTTTCACTTAACCCCAAAAAATAAGGTCAGAGCGATTTTTTAATTTAACCTCACTTTCAACAAAAGTCAAATGCAATACGAATTTTTGAAAATTTTATATTAACTAAAGTAATCATCCTGGAAACTTGTAATTTAGTGTGATCCAACCTCAAACCTTTCTCTGTAACCTCAAAAAATTTCATTTCTTCAATCTTAACCGTTTAGGAGAAAAAATTTTTTTCTTTAACCTCACCTTCCGCAAACGTCAAATAAAATAGGAAATTTTAAAATGTTATATTAAGTAAAATAAACATCCTGGAAGATTGTAATTTGGTGTGATCCAACCTCAAACCTTCCTTTATAATTTCAAAAAGATTCAATTCTTCAATCTTAACCGTTTAGGAGAAAATATTTTTTTCTTTAACCTCATCTTCCACAAACGTCAAATAAAATAGGAAATTTTAAAATGTTATATTAAGTAAAATAAACACCCTGGAAGCTTATAATTTGGTGTGATCCAACCTCAAACCTTCCTTTATAATCTCAAAAAGTTTCAATTCTTCAATCTTAACCGTTTAGGAGAAAAAATGTCTTTCTTTAACCTCACTTTCCACAAACGTCAAATAAAATAAGAAATTTTAAAATGATATATTAAATAAAGTAATCACCCTGGAAGGTTATAATTTGGTGTGATCCAACCTCAAACCTTCCTTTATAATCTCAAAAAGTTTCAATTCTTCAATCTTAACCGTTTAGGAGAAAAAATTTTTTTCTTTAACCTCACTTTCCACAAACGTCAAATAAAATAGGAAATTTTAAAATGATATATTAAATAAAGTAATCACCCTGGAAGATTATAATTTGCTGTGATCCAACCTCAAACCTTCCTTTATAATCTCAAAAAAGTTTCAATTCTTCAATCTTAACCGTTTAGGAGAAAAAAATTGTTTCTTTAACCTCACTTTCCACAAACGTCAAATGAAATGGGAAACTTTTAAAATGTTATATTAACTAAAATAATCACTCTGGAAGGTTATAATTTGGTCTGATTCAACCTCAAACCTTCCTTTATAATCTCAAAAAGTTTCATTTTTTAAATCTTAACCGTTTCAGAGAAAACCATTTTTTTCTATAACTGCACTTTTACCAAACGTCAAATTAATTTGCAGATTTTTAAAATGTTATATTAAGTAAAATAAACACCCTGGAAGATTATAATTTGGTGTGATCCAACCTCAAACCTGCCTTAATAATCTCAAAAAGTTTCAATTCTTCAATCTTAACCGTTTAGGAGAAAAAAATTTTTTCTTTAACCTCACTTTCCACAAACGTCAAATAAAATAAGAATTTTTAAAATGTTATATTAAATAAAATAAACACCTTGGAAGATTGTAATTTGGTGTGATCCAAGCTCAAATCTTCCTTTATAATTTCAAAAAGTTTGAATTCTTCAATCTTAGCCGTTTAGGAGGAAAAAATTTTTTTCTTTAACCTCACCTTCCGCAAACGTCAAATAAAATAGGAAACTTTAAAATGTTATATTAAATAAAGTAATCACCTTGGAAGCTTATAATTTGGTGTGAGCCAACCTCAAACCTTCCTTTATAACCTCAAAAAGTTTCAATTCTTCAATCTTAACCGTTTAGGAGAAAACAATTTTTTTCTTTAACCTCACTTTCCACAAACGTCAAATACAATAGGGAATTTTAGAATGTTATATTAAGTAAAGTAATCACCTTGGAAGCTTATAATTTGGTGTGATCCAACCTCAAACCTTCCTTTATAACCTTAAAGAATTTCAATTCTTCAATCTTAACCGTTTAGGAGAAAATAATTTTTTCTTTAACCTCACTTTCCACAAACGTCAAATGAAATGGGAAACTTTTAAAATGTTATATTAACTAAAATAATCACTCTGGAAGGTTATAATTTGGTCTGATTCAACCTCAAACCTTCCTTTATAATCTCAAAGAATTTCAATTCTTCAATCTTAACCGTTTAGGAGAAAATAATTTTTTCTTTAACCTCACTTTCCACAAACGTCAAATAAAATAAGAAACTTTAAAATGATATATTAAATAAAGTAATCACCCTAGAAGGTTATAATTTGGTGTGATCCAACCTCAAACCTTCCTTTATAATCTCAAAAAGTTTCAATTCTTCAATCTTAACCGTTCAGGAGAAAAAAAAATTTTTCTTTAACCTCACTTTCCACAAACGTCAAATAAAATAGGAAATTTTAAAATGATGTATTAAAAAAAGTAATCACCCTGGAAGGTTATAATTTGGTGTGATCCAACCTTTCTTTATAACCTCAAAAAGTTTCAATTCTTCAATCTTAACCGTTTAGGAGAAAAATTTTTTTTCTTTAACCTCACCTTCCACAAACGTCAAATAAAATAGGAAATTTTAAAATGTTATATTAAATAAAATAAACACCTTGGAAGGTTATAATTTGGTGTGATCCAACCTCAAACCTTCCTTAATAATCTCAAAAAGTTTCAATTCTTCAATCTTAACCGTTTAGGAGAAAAAATTTTTTTCTTTAACCTCACTTTCCACAAACGTCAAATAAAATAGGAAATTTTAAAATGTTATATTAAGTAAAATAAACACCTTGGAAGGTTATAATTTGGTGTGATCCAACCTCAAACCTTCCTTAATAATCTCAAAAAGTTTCAATTCTTCAATCTTAACCGTTTAGGAGAAAAAATTTTTTTCTTTAACCTCACTTTCCACAAACGTCAAATAAAATAGGAAATTTTAAAATGTTACATTAAGTAAACTAATCGCCTTGGAAGGTTATAATTTGGTGTGATCCAACCTCAAACCTTCCTTTATAATCTCAAAAAGTTTCAATTCTTCAATCTTAACCGTTTAGGAGAAAACAATGTTTTTTAACCTCACTTTTCACAAACGTCAAATAAAATAGGAAATTTTAAAATGATATATTAAATAAAGTAAGCACCCTGGAAGGTTATAATTTGGTGTGATCCAACCTCAAACCTTCCTTTATAATCTCAAAAAGTTTCAATTCTTCAATCTTAACCGTTTAGGAGAAAAATTTTTTTTCTTTAACCTCACTTTCCACAAACGTCAAATAAAATAGGAAATTCTAAAATGTTATATTAAGTAAAGTAATCACCTTGGAAGGTTATAATTTGGTGTGATCCAACTTCAAACCTTCCTTAATAATCTCAAAAAGTTTCAATTCTTCAATCTTAACCGTTTAGGAGAAAAAATTTTTTTCTTTAACCTCACTTTCCAGAAACGTCAAATAAAATAGGAAATTTTAAAATGTTATATTAAGTAAAATAAACACCCTGGAAGATTGTAATTTGGTATGATCCAAGCTCAAACCTTCCTTTATAATCTCAAAAAGTTTCAATTCTTCAATCTTAACCGTTTATGAAAAAATAATTTTTGTCTTTAACCTCACTTTCCACAAACGTCAAATAAAATAGGAAATTCTAAAATGTTATATTAAGTAAAGTAATCACCTTGGAAGGTTATAATTTGGTGTGATCCAACCTCAAACCTTCCTTTATAATCTCAAAAAGTTTCAATTCTTAACCGTTTAGGAGAAAAATTTTTTTTCTTTAACCTCATTTTCCACAAACGTCAAATAAAATAGGAAATTTTAAAATGTTATATTAAGTAAAATAAACACCCTGGAAGATTGTAATTTGGTGTGATCCAACCTCAAACGTTCCTTTATAACCTCAAAAAGTTTGATTTCTTGAATCTTAACCGTTTAGGAGAAAACAATATTTTTTTAACCTCACTTTCAGTAAATGTCAAATGATATAGGAATTTTTTAAAATGTTATATTAAGTAAAGTAAAAACCCTGGAAGCTTATAATTTGGTGTGATCCAACCTCAAACCTTCCTTTATAAGCTCAAAAAGTTTCGTTTCTTAAATCGCAACGGGTTAAGAGAAAAAAATTTTTTTTATTTACCAAATTAAGCAAAGTGGGCAAAAAATGGAAAACCGAGCGAAGCTTTAGAAAATAACGGGGAAACATTTTCTATATGATACACAAATTGCGATTACAAAGTATCGTAATGGTTTTCGAGTATGTACGCAAATTTATTACTATAATTAAAGCTATAAATTAAATCCGAGTCTGAAACTTCACCCGTATACATGTATAATTTTGTCCAGATCGGGATATAACACTCCTACATTAAAAAAATACAACCAGATCGCGGCGGTGATAAGAAAATTTAAATGAGGGGATAAACGAACGAAGAAAAGAAAGAAAAAATGGGAATAATAATAATAAGAAAGTTTTCTTAATCGCCTCTCTTGATAAACGAAAAAAAATGAAATCTTTAAGTCGAATTTAAACGGGATTTTATTATAATTATATCGTTAAAACGGATTTATTTTTTTGAAATTTTAATTTATTTTTATAAAACATTCTTTATTCGTGTCCTAAAACCGGAGACACTCATTCGTGAACGATCGCGATAAACTATATTTCGGATGTATTTTTAGATGCCGCAGTGAAATTATAAACGAGTAGAGAAAAAAAAACGCGCGTACGTGTATTGCTGTATCTCGCGAGACCGAGATAACCCCCTTTTTTTTGGGAATCGAACAGCACCAAACGGCAGCAGCACTCAAAAGAAACCCGACCTCTCTGAATATTTGATAATGAAATCCATCAAAATGCAGGTGTAAGCAGAAAAACATCAATCGGGCGATTATAATTCGATTTTAAACCCAATTATTATTGCGTATTATTTAGTTTTGTATTATTTTCAACTCTAAGTTGAAAGTTTTTAATGTTACATCTTTATGATATTTAGTATTTTTTTCGTGGTCTCATTCTGAACAATTTTTATATATTTTAATTTAGATTTTAGTCAATTTGAAATCTGCGAATTAGCGCAGATATGTTATAATCGTATCTTAAAGTAGAACGTTTTAGCTTCAATTTGAGATATAAATCGTCGCTTAACTCCTAAAAATAAAGTCAGGATGATTTTTTGAAATTTTCCATTTTTATGACATACTTAGATTTACAACTTTGTCATCAAGAGTTTTTTTTGAAAAATTTTCCATATCATACCATATGTTTTTTTAATCCCATTATAAAATAGAATCTTTAAGCTTCAATTTAAGATATAAATCATCGCTTAACTCCTAAAAATAAAGTCAGGATGATTTTTTGAAATTTCCCATTTTTATGACATTTTGAATATAACTTAGATTTACAACTTTGTCTTCAAGAGATTTTTTTGAAAAATTTTCCATATCAAACCATATGTTTTTTTAATCGTATTATAAAATACATTCTTTAAGCTTCAATTTAAGATATAAATCATCGCTTAACTCCCAAAAATAAAGTCAGGGTGATTATTTAAATTTTATCCCTTTTATGACGTATTCAACATAACCTAGAATTGCAACTTCGTCTTCAAGATTTTTTTTTGGTAAATATTCCTTATCAAACCACACATTTTTTTAATCCCATCATAAAATAGAATCTTTTAGCTTTAATTTAAGCCATAAATCTTTACTCTACGCTTCAAAATACCGTTATAATGATTTTTTAAATTTCCACTTTATTTTGACAGATACAAAAATAACCTCAAAAACCAATTTTTTGTTTAATAAGTTTTTCTGATAAATCTCGTCATCAAACCATTTCATTTTTATAGGTTATCTTAATAGAGTCTTTAAGCTTCAATTTAAGATATAAATCATCGTTTAATTCCCAAAAATAAAGTAAAGGTGATTTTTTGAATTTTATCCTTTTTATGACGTATTCAATATAACCTAGATTTGCAACTTTGTCTTCAAGATTTATTTTTTGAAAAATTTTCCTTATCAAACTATATATTTTTTTAATCCCATCATAAAATAGAATCGTTTAGCTTTAATTTAAGACATAAAGCTTTTCTTTGCGCTTCAAAATAAAGTTAAGGTGATTTGTTTCTTTAACCTAATTCTCAGCAAACGTCAAATGGAACAGGAAATTTTTAAAATGTTATATTAATTAAAATAAACAACTTGGAAGCTTATAATTTGGTGTGATCCAACCTCAAACCTTCCACCATAACCTCAAAAAGTTTCATTTCTTACATCTTAACCAATTAAGAGAAAGAAAATTTTTTTTAACCTCACTTTCAGCAAACGTCAAAAGAAGTAGGAAATTTTTAAAATGTTATATTTACTAAAGCAATCAACGTGGAAACTTATAATTTGGTGTGATCCAACCTCAAACCTTCCTTTATAACCTCAAAAAGTTTCATTTCTTACATCTTAGCCGTTTAGGAGAAAACAATTTTTATTTATAACCTCACTTTCAGGAAACGTTAAATGAAATAGGAAATTTTTAAAATGTTATATTAAATAAAGTAATTACCCTGGAAGGTTATAATTTAGTGCCATCCAACCTTAAATCTTCCTTTATAACCTCAAAAAGTTTCATTTCTGGAATCTTAACCGTTTAGGAGAAAAAAAATTTTTTTCTTTAACCTCACCTTCCGCAAACGTTAAATAAAATAGGAAATTTTAAAATGTTATATTAAGTAAAATAAACACCCTGGAAGATTATAATTTGGTGTGATCCAACCTGAAACCATCCTTTATAACCTAAAAAAGTTTCATTTCTTGAATCTTACCCGTTTAGGAGAAAACAATTTTTTTTTAACCTCACTTTTAGCAAACGTCAAATGAAGTAGTAAATTTTTAACATTTCATTTTAAGTAAAGTATACACCCTGGAAGCTTATNACCATATGTTTTTTTAATCCCATTATAAAATAGAATCTTTAAGCTTCAATTTAAGATATAAATCATCGCTTAACTCCTAAAAATAAAGACAGGATGATTTTTTGAAATTTCCCATTTTTATGACATTTTGAATATAACTTAGATTTACAACTTTGTCTTCAAGAGATTTTTTTGAAAAATTTTCCATATCAAACCATATGTTTTTTTAATCGTATTATAAAATACATTCTTTAAGCTTCAATTTAAGATATAAATCATCGCTTAACTCCCAAAAATAAAGTCAGGGTGATTATTTAAATTTTATCCCTTTTATGACGTATTCAACATAACCTAGATTTGCAACTTCGTCTTCAAGATTTTTTTTTGGAAAATTTTCCTTATCAAACCACACATTTTTTTAATCCCATCATAAAATAGAATCTTTTAGCTTTAATTTAAGCCATAAATCTTTACTCTACGCTTCAAAATACCGTTATAATGATTTTTTAAATTACCACTTTATTTTGACAGATACAAAAATAACCTCAAAAACCAATTTTTTGTTTAATAAGTTTTTCTGATAAATCTCGTCATCAAACCATTTCATTTTTATAGGTTATCTTAAAATAGAGTCTTTAAGCTTCAATTTAAGATATAAATCATCGTTTAATTCCCAAAAATAAAGTAAAGGTGATTTTTTGAATTTTATCCTTTTTATGACGTATTCAATATAACCTAGATTTGCAACTTTGTCTTCAAGATTTATTTTTTGAAAAATTTTCCTTATCAAACTATATATTTTTTTAATCCCATCATAAAATAGAATCGTTTAGCTTTAATTTAAGACATAAAGCTTTTCTTTGCGCTTCAAAATAAAGTTAAGGTGATTTGTTTCTTTAACCTAATTCTCAGCAAACGTCAAATGGAACAGGAAATTTTTAAAATGTTATATTAATTAAAATAAACAACTTGGAAGCTTATAATTTGGTGTGATCCAACCTCAAACCTTCCACCATAACCTCAAAATGTTTCATTTCTTACATCTTAACCAATTAAGAGAAAGAAATTTTTTTTTAACCTCACTTTCAGCAAACGTCAAATGAAATAGGAAATTTTGAAAATTTTACATTAAGTAAAGTAATCATTGTGGAAGCTTATAATTTGGTGTGATCCAACCTTAAACCATCCTTTATAACCTAAAAAAGTTTCATTTCTTGAATCTTACCCGTTTAGGAGAAAACAATTTTTTTTAACCTCACTTTTAGCAAACGTCAAATGAAGTAGTAAATTTTTAACATTTCATNCCTTCCTTTATAACCTAAAAAAGTTTCATTTCTTGAATCTTACCCGTTTAGGAGAAAACAATTTTTTTTAACCTCACTTTTAGCAAACGTCAAATGAAGTAGTAAATTTTTAACATTTCATTTTAAGTAAAGTAAACACCCTGGAAGCTTATAATTTGGTGTAATCCAACTTCAAACCTTCCTCTATAACCTGAACAAGTTTCATTTCTTTAATCTTAATCGTTTAGGAGAAAACATTTTTTTTCTTTAACCTCACACTCTGCAAACGTCAAATGATATAGGAAATTGGAAAACTTTTATATCAAGTAAACAAATCACCCTGGAAGCTTATAATTTGGCGTGATCCAACCTCAAACCTTCCTTTATAACCTAAAAATTTCATTTCTTCAATCTTAACCGTTTAGGAGAAAATCAATTTCTTCTTTAACCTCACTTTCAACAAACGTCAAATGAAATAAGAAATTTTTAAAACTTTATATTAAGTAAAGTAATCATCCTGGAAGCTTAAATAGAATCTTTTAGCTTTAATTTAACACATAAATCTTCGCTCTACTCTTCAAAACACCGTTATAACGATTTTTTTAATTTCACCTTTATTTTGACAGATCCAATCCAATTTTTTGATTAATACGTTTTTCTTGTAAATCGAATCATTTAATTTTTATACGTTATCATAATACGGAATCTTTAAGCTTCAATTTAAGATATAAATCATCCAAAAATAAAGTTAGTGTGATTTTTTGACAACTCTAAAATAAAGTTGGTACGATTTTTTTTTCAATTTTAATTTCATTTTGACACATTCTTTTTTAATTCTTTTTTAAACGTTATTTTTATCCCATCATAAAATAGGCCCGTTTAGCTTTAATTTAACACTTAAATCTTGAAAGTTGTAAAAACGAGTTGGATTTTTTGTTGTTTTAATTTTTAATTGTTGGGGTTGGTACTAAAAAAATTTCTGGAAGTGACAGTTAATGGTATATTGTTGTGCGGTGGCGACGCGGCGTCGTCGTCGTTGGACTCGTTGGCGCAGCAGGCGGCAGGAGAAAGAGCGGCCGTTGTGACCCCGTACGTATGTGTGTTATGATGATGTGCGACAGGTTCACGGTCAACCGCTGCTCCTGCTGCAGTCTTCGCCCGTTTGAGACGTTGCGAAAGGTCATGACTCGGAGAGTCCGACAATTATTGTTTCAACCCAACACTTTTTGTTTCTCCTCTCACTTTGGTATTTTAATCATTAACATTTTTTTAATTTCGTTATTTATTTTATTATTGATTTAATTATTATTTCATAAATTTTTTTTTAATGACAAGATGACATTTGACGTTTGTGAGGTTAAGAATATGGATAAGAAAGAATAAGAAAAAGGAGGTCCCTCTCAATTTCGCGGCCGTTATATTATTGTTGTTTGCGATTTGAAAAAGTGCAATGTACTTCGCTGACCCTGGCCAAGGCCCGGTGACCGTCCTGACTCAATGAACCGGCCAATTCGCCAGTTCCTGCGGTCAACCCCTGGGTACCCTGTGACATCTCTTTATTTAGACTTCCGGTCCCCCTCCCCAATCCATCCCATTCACACTTCTCTTAATTCTTTTCGCTCGTAATTGCGTAAGATTCGTATCAATAATTTTTTTTCAATTTCAGACCCCCACGTAAGACATTTTAAGAGCCGCAACGTCTTGTATTTTAATTTATCATCGAGCATAACCAAATTTCGCGTCGCAAACGCAAGCTTATACATATTCGTGAAAGGAACCGCGCGAAAAATCCAACCGATTATCACGCTGGAAGTCTTCAAGTTGTACAAACAAGACGTTGACAGCTCCGTGAAGATAGCCGCGAAGAAAATCGTGCAACCCCAAGGACCCGGGGATTTTTTCAAATTAGACGCGACCGTTATGATTTCGGAATGGTTCAAAAACCCCGAAGAAAATTTTGGGTTCTTCGTCGATCTCATAATTGAGGGGAAAAAATCTTCGTTAGACGTGGAGCATAATAAAAACGTGAGTTAGATTAAGAATTTAGAAACGTTTTAATTTTGATTTATTTTTTTAACTTTTAGATGCCCTACGCCGAAATTTTTACGAGCGAACCAAAACGGCGAATTCGACGTCAAAATTTAAACTGCGAAGAGCGAAGCCCCGAATCGATTTGTTGCCGATACCCGCTCCAAATCGATTTCGAAACTTTCGGTTGGAACTTTATCATAGCCCCGAAACGTTACGACGCTTATTATTGTTCGGGGGAGTGCAGCTATTTAACATTGCAAAAGAACCCGCACACGCACCTCGCAACGATGGCCGCCCCGCATGTGGCAACCCCTTGTTGTGCCCCCCGCAAGCTCAGCCCCATCACCATGCTCTATTTCGACGAAAATTCGAACGTTGTTTATGGGAGTTTACCCGGGATGGTCGTTGATCGATGCGGATGTTCGTAACGAATCAAAAAGTTTTTTTTTGGACGTAAAAATTTGAAATGAAATGAAATAAAATAAAATAAAACGTACTTAGCCGAACTTTAATGAACTTAACGATAAAGTGTGAGTTTAATTAAAAAGAAACTTTAAATGAAGTGAAGAAAAAATTAAAAGTGAGGTTAGACTTATTCGGACTCTGTACTGTGTAATTATATAATATTGTATGTGATAATAGCTATTATTTATTTTTGTAACAATTGTAAAAAGTAGGAATAATTGATTATTGTAACCTTTGTTTGTAAAAAAATATCTTCATAAGACTGTCAAAAATTAACCCCCCAATTTTTTTTACTCCTCTTGTTATTATTATTATTATTAATATTATTATTATTATTTCTTTTGGATCTCTAATTAATTATTATTAATCTTACTTCCCATTTTTTTTTATTTCCCCCTTTCATTTTGGCTATTTTTATTTTTTTTTTCTGTTAAAACTCAAATTAATGAATCAAAATAAAAAAACGATAAATAAACAAACAATATTCTCGTTTTATTAACCCAAATAACACTCTTTAATTAATTAATTAATTAAAATTAAAAAATAAATAATAATTTGAAACGTCAAATTTGAATTTATTTTTGTCCTAATTTCTTATTGATCTAATATAAAATTAATTTTAAAAATTTTATATTAAGTAAAAAATCACCCTAGAAGCTTGTAATTTGGTGTGATCCAACCTCAAAGCTTCCTCTATAACCTCAAAATGTTTCATTTCTTGAATCTTAAGCGTTTAGGAGAAATCAATTTTTTTATAACCTCACTTTCAGCAAACGTCAAATGATATAGGTTATTTTTAAAATTTTATATTAAGTAATCACCCTGTAATTGCGTAAGTAAAGTAATTTGGTGTGATCCAACCTCAAACCTTCCTCTATAACCTCAAAAAGTTTCATTTCTTGAATCTTAACCAATTAAGAGAAAAAAAAATTTTTCTTTAACCTCACTTTCAACAAACGTCAAATGAAATAGGTTATTTTTAAAATTTTATATTAAGGAAAGTAATCATCCTGGAAGCTTGTAATTTGGTGTGATCCAACCTCAAACCTTCCTCTATAACCTCAAAAAGTTTCATTTCTTGAATCTTAACCGTTTAGGAGAAATCAATTTTTTTGTTATAACCTCACTTTCAATAAACATCAAATGAAAGGTTATTTTTAAAATGTTATATTAAGTAAAATAAACACCCTAGAAGCTTGTAATTTGGTGTGATCCAACCTCAAACCTTCCTCTATAACCTCAAAAAGTTTCATTTCTTGAATCTTAACCGATTAAGAGAAAAACATTTTTCTTTAACCTCACTTTCAGAAAACGTCAAATGAAATAGGAAATTTTTGAAATGTTATATTAAGTAAAGTAATCACCCTGGAAGCTTATAATTTGGTGTGATCCAACCTCAAACCTTCCTCTATAACCTTAAAAAGTTTCATTTTTTGAATCTTAACCGTTTAGGAGAAATCAATTTTTTTGTTATAACCTCACTTTCAACAAACGTCAAATGAAATAGGTTATTTTTAAAATTTTATATTAAGTAAAGTAATCACCCTGGAAGCTTATAATTTGGTTTGATCCAACCTCAAACCTTCCTCTATAACCTCAAAAAGTTTCATTTCTTGAATCTTAACCGTTTAGGAGAAATCAATTTTTTTATAACCTCACTTTCAGCAAACGTCAAATGAAATAGGTTATTTTAAAAATGTTATATTAAGTAAAGTAATCACCCTAGAAGCTTATAATTTGGNACAGGATGATTTTTTGAAATTTCCCATTTTTATGACATTTTGAATATAACTTAGATTTACAACTTTGCCCTCAAGAGTTTTTTTTGACAAATTTTCCATACCAAACCATATGTTTTTTTAATCCCATTATAAAATAGATTCTTTAAGCTTCAATTTAAGATATAAATCATCGCTTAACTCTCAAAAATAAAGTCAGGATGATTTTTTGAATTTTTCCATTTTTATGACATTTTGAATATAACTTAGATTTACAACATTGTCTTCAAGAGTTTTTTTTCAAAAATTTTCATATCAAACCATATGTTTTTTTAATCCCATTATAAAATAGAATCTTTAAGCTTCAATTTAAAATATAAATCATCGCTTAACTCCTAAAAATAAAGTCAGGATGATTTTTTGAAATTCTCCATTTTTATGACATTTTGAATATAACTTAGATTTACAACTTTGTCTTCAAGAGATTTTTTTGAAAAATTTTCCATATCATACCATATGTTTTTTTAATCCCATTATAAAATAGAATCTTTAAGCTTCAATTTAAGATATAAATCATCGCTTAACTCCTAAAAATAAAGTCAGGATGATTTTTTGAAATTTTCCC